GGGTTATTGTCAGCATATTACACTTCTGGCTGAAATGTCTTCATCTGCTAGTGTTACAAGTAACACTTAAAATGATTATACCAGAAGGAAACAAAAAAAATATTTATTTCATAGAATCATAGAATATAAGGGTTAGAAGGGACCCCAGAAGGTCATCTAGTCCAACCCCCTGCTCGAAGCAGGACCAATTCCCAGTTAAATCATCCCAGCCAGGGCTTTGTCAAGCCTGACCTTAAAAACCTCTAAGGAAGGAGATTCTACCACCTCCCTAGGTAACGCATTCCAGTGTTTCACCACCCTCTTAGTGAAAAAGTTTTTCCTAATATCCAATCTAAACCTCCCCCACTGCAGCTTGAGACCATTACTCCTCGTTCTGTCATCTGATACCATTGAGAACAGTCTAGAGCCATCCTCTTTGGAACCCCCTTTCAGGTAGTTGAAAGCAGCTATCAAATCCCCCCTCATTCTTCTCTTCTGCAGGCTAAACAATCCCAGCTCCCTCAGCCTCTCCTCATAACTCATGTGTTCCAGACCCCTAATCATTTTTGTTGCCCTTCGCTGGACTCTCTCCAATTTATCCACATCCTTCTTAAAGTGTGGGGCCCAAAACTGGACACAGTACTCCAGATGAGGCCTCACCAATGTCGAATAGAGGGGAACGATCACGTCCCTCGATCTGCTCGCTATGCCCCTACTTATACATCCCAAAATGCCATTGGCCTTCTTGGCAACAAGGGCACACTGCTGACTCATATCCAGCTTCTCGTCCACTGTCACCCCTAGGTCCTTTTCCGCAGAACTACTGCCTAGCCATTCGGTCCCTAGTCTGTAGCTGTGCAAGCCATTCGGTCCCTAGTCTGTAGCTGTGCATATTTTGTATGCTTTGTACATTTGACAGCACTTTGTACATAGTCAGTGTCCCCTGAAGTTTGTGTTGGTCTTTCTGGAGGGGGGAAAAAACATCCCCACCTATGTATGGAAATATGACTGTGAAATTACTTTAAAAGGCAAGAGCTTTCAAGGGCAGGTCTGGTACTTGAAACTACTAGTAAATTATTAAAAATGAATTAAAAGATTTTAAGATGAAACAAACTTGAAACAAACCAGTACAGCTTCACTGCCAAAGCTGAGCAAACTGCATGTAAGCAGACTACATAAAAGTACACTAAAACAGATGTTTACAGTTCTATCACTTTTAATAATCCAAGACTTTACTAAAAATCCAATGTTGGATTTTTTTTTAATTATTTTGAATATCTAAAAGTGCTACTTAAAATTAAATGTCTTGGACAACATATTGCATATTACAAACTTATTCCACTATTAGAACATTAAGTACATGATAAAAGCTTTTAACTCAAAACCTCTTTTGTTTTAAAACACTGGGAGACAAAATCGAAGTGTTAACCTCATGGACAAAAAGTGTACCAATACTTTCCGTAGATTAAAACCCTCGTTTGCTGTCCGGTGGAATACTGGCAGCCTCACGGCTCCACTGAAGATGGTCTCTAATAGTGGCATCTTGCCAATAGGACTTATAGGGCATGCTCTCAAATTGTTTTTATTTTTAGTTACATCTACTGATGCAGTTAAAAAAAAAAAAACGGTCCTCTCAACTAGTGAAATTTTCCCCACAAGTTACATTGCCTCTTTCTAAAATGTTGTCAAATGACAACTTCATCTTCAAGCGTTCAATACACTAGACATATTTATTTCCAGCAACATGCTAATCACAATTTGGCTTTTCATTTAGGTGCTTTTTCTGAGAAAAGCAGCAAGATTCTTTTAGACAAGGTGTCTCCAATTTTATTTTAATCTGTTTTGAACCTCGGTATTCCTGCTTCCCTGATAAAAGGAGCTGTGGTGTCTTCTTCAAACTATATTTAATTGTCCTCTTTTTTACCCACTGGACTTGCCTATGCTATCAAAATGACCTGTTAATGACATGGGTAAACAGCTAGGCCAGTGCTCAACATAGTTTAATTAGACAAGAACAAATGATGTTCAGCACCACTGCAGGAACAGCAGTTACAAAGGTGTTTATGGCACCAGTTGCATCAGAAAGTTTCCAGCACTGTACTGGACAGTTTATTCTACTTTAAAAACATCTTGGTTTTACACTTTTAAAACCAAGATATTTGTGCAATATATACAATACATGAAAAAAATATGATCGCACGTTGCAAAACAGACATATGTCAGCACATATTCACTCAGACAAATTCAGAGTCAACTATTCAACCTGAGAAGCTGGGTCAGGCACTAGGTAGATGTGTGGAGAGGAGTGAGAACAAGATAAATCATCTGCCCTGGTCCTTATTTCTTCACCCCAAAGAGGGTGGTGGTGGAGGAGAAGAAGAGTGTGATCCATGTAGTCGCAGATTCTCTAGCCACATTTCCATCATATTACAGACCTGGAGCAAGATCATCAGCTGCTTTAAGTCAACATAGCACTGTTGGCTTCAATGGAGCTACACCAGCTCAGGTACTGTCCCTGGATCTCTGCTTCTTCCAGGGGATGAAGTTTCCATTCTATTGCTAAAGAGTTCTAAGTGGTCATTGAGAAGATGACTAGATTTGCCCTGCAGAGCACAATTACAAATAGAGCCCTGCACAGATACAAAATGTGTATCCACATCTGATCCACAATCCTCAAAAATGATCTGCAGATATAAAGCGATATCCGTGGATTTGTTGGGGTCTAATTATGAAAATACATTCATAGTATTTATCAGCAATGATACAGAACCTAAATAAATCAATATACATGTTGAGTCCTTGAAATCTAGTAGCACTCATGACTGTCAGCATGTTAGCACCTAATTTAGTCGGTGCAAAACAGCTCAAAGAAACAAAATATTATTTGTATGGATTTTACATTTACTATTGTCATTCTGGTAATAATGTGGTGGGTCCTATCCACACACAGAAGAAACAGACCTTGACACGAACAATTTAAAACAGTAAACATACAGAGGATGATGGAGAGGGATTAAATAAAATATTTTAAGCGTTTTACTGAATTTGACCTTTTCAAATAATTATCAGCAACCCGCAACTCCTTCTTGATCCCGTTAAATGTAGCTGGTTAATTTATTGCAGGCACTACCGTAAAAATGGGTCCTGAGAAGAAATTTGAAGGAGAGGTTTCAGAGGAACAGCCGTGTTAGTCTGTATTCGCAAAAAGAAAAGGAGTACTTGTGGCACCTTAGAGACTAACCAATTTATTTGAGCATGAGCTTTCGTGAGCTACAGCTCACTTCATCAGATGTATACCGTGGAAACTGCAGCAGACTTTATATACACACAGAGAATATGAAACAATACCTCCTCCCACCCCACTGTCCTGCTGGTAATAGCTTATCTAAAGTGATCAACAGGTGGGCCATTTCCAGCACAAATCCAGGTTTTCTCACCCTCCACCCCCCCACACAAATTCACTCTCCTGCTGGTGCTAGCCCATCCAAAGTGACAACTCTTTACATAATCAAGTCGGGCTATTTCCTGCATAGATCCAGGTTTTCTCACATCCCCCCCACCCCCATACACACACAAACTCACTCTCCTGCCGGTAATAGCTCATCTAAACTGACCACTCTCCAAGTTTAAATCCAAGTTAAACCAGAACATCTGGGGGGTGGGGGGGGTAGGAAAAAACAAGAGGAAACAGGCTACCTTGCATAATGACTTAGCCACTCTCAGTCTCTATTTAAGCCTAAATTAATAGTATCCAATTTGCAAATGAATTCCAATTCAGCAGTTTCTCGCTGGAGTCTGGATTTGAAGTTTTTTTGTTTTAAGATAGCGACCTTCATGTCTGTGATTGCGTGACCAGAGAGATTGAAGTGTTCTCCGACTGGTTTATGAATGTTATAATTCTTGACATCTGATTTGTGTCCATTTATTCTTTTACGTAGAGACTGTCCAGTTTGACCAATGTACATGGCAGAGGGGCATTGCTGGCACATGATAGACTAGGGCAGTGGTTCTCAAAGCCGGTCTGCTTCTTGTTTAGGGAAAGCCGCTGGCAGGCGAGCCAGTTGTTTACCTGCTGCGTCCATAGGTTTGGCAGATCGCGCTCCCACTGGCAGCGGTTCGCCACTCCAAGCCAATAGGGGCTGCGGGAAGCGGTGCAAGCTGAGCGATGTGCTGGCCACCCTTCCCGCAGCCCCCATTGGCCTGTAGCAGCGAACCGTGGCCGGTGGGAGCCGTGATCTGCTGAACCTGCAGACGCAGCAGGTAAACAAACCACCCCCCGCCAGGGGCTTTCCCTGAACAAGCGTTGGACCGGCTTTGAGAACCACTCAGCTAGGGGGCTTGGTCTATCTACATTGACATAGTGGCCAGGCTCCGGGGTATGAAAAACCCACACCCTGGAGCGCAGCTACAGCACCCTAACCCTGGGGCAGAGGCAGCAAGATCAGTGGAAGAATTCTGTAGACCCAGCTCCCATCCCTCTGGGATGGGGGCTCCTACAACCGCAGGTAACCCTGTCCATCGCTGCAGCCTGCGTCTACACGAGGGGGTTATGCCGGCACATGCCCCGCAGCGCGCACAGGGGGCAGGGCCGCCTCCACACTGGGGATCAGCCTTAATTCCACCTGTTGGTGCTGCTCAGGGAGCCGCGCTGGGGCCCCCCCCAGGTACGTGGGCAGCGCGGCTAGGATCGCCGGTGGGCCTCATGCTGCCTTGGAGCTGGGCAGGGGGCGGGAATCTGGACCGATCCCCATCGCGGGCGAGGGAGGGCGCAGGGCAAAGCGCAGAGCCCGAGGCGGGCGGACAGCGGCCGCCAGGCTGCAGAGAGTTGGCTCAGCGGGAGACGCCGGCTCGGGTCGCGGCTAGGGGCAGGGACGAGGCCGGGCACCCAGGAGGGAGCGGGCAGCCTGTGGCGGCGCGGCAGGCGGCGAGCCAGGCCCGGCGGCGGGGGCCGGAGGCCGCAGGGGAGGGCGGGGGGTGAGTCCGGCCTGGCCCCGAGCGCAGGCAGGAGGGCGGGGCGGTACCTGCAGGGGCAGCCCCGGGTCTCCGGCCTGGGGAACCGGCTCCCTGCACGCGCCCATGGGGAGGGGCGGGGGGAAGCTGCCCGCGCGAGGACTCCGGTTCCTCGGGGCTTCAGCTCCCGCCATGTGCGCGCCGCCCCGCAGGGCGGGCTGTAGGGAAACCCCGCCCCGGGGCGGAGGCAGCGGCAGCCCCGTTCGTTCCCCCTGCGCACGCGGCGGTGAAAACCCACGACAAGCCCAGCGCGCGCGGCGCGGCAGCGGCGGCTTCCGGTGCGACCGCTGCCCGGGCGGATCTATATGCCCGGGGAAGGCGGGGTGACGGCGTGACCGTTCCACACCCCCTGCTCGAGCGATGGAGTCGCCCAGGCCGCCGCGCGCGCGCGGGCGCGCGCCACGAGCCCTCGCGCTCTAGCCCTGTCCCGAGCGCAGTCAACAAAGGGCCCCGGGGGGCGGGGAGAAGCGGCCGGGGCCCGAGCGGGGCGCAGGGGCCGGGGGGCAGCAAGGAGCGGGCCGGCCCCGGGGACACTCACCTGGGGTCGCGGCGGGGCCGGGAGCGGCGGCAGCGCTGGTGCCCAGGTTCCCCCCCGCTCTTTGTGTGCGAGGGTCCGCGCGCTGCGCTCTCGCGTGACGTGACGGGACCGTGTGTCATTTCCGCACAAGGACACAGCGCCCCGAGCCGCGGCCAGCGCCGCCCGCTCCCACTGGGGACCCCGCGCCCCGCCCGCACGCGGGCTCCTGCCTCGGGGGGGGGGCACCGCCCGTGGAAATACCCGCCCCCGCGCGACGGCCGCCTCGTCCCCGCTGCCGGTAGCCCGGGGGAGCCGCCGATCCCTCCGGCCCCTGTGCAGGCGCGGGCGGCCAGGCAGGGGCCAAGCCGCTTCTCCCCGTCCGGAGCAAAGGGCAGCGACGCCGTTCGCGGCGGGTGGGGATCCACCAGCCCGGAGCGGGGCTGGCCGCCTGCCCCTGCCGGCCTCAGCCCGGGCCAGCCCCAGCGACAAAACCCGGCCCCTGGTGTGAAACGAGCCAGCGTCGGCGGGACCGAGCCCCGGCTACCGCGGGTGGGAGCCCGGGCGGGCCGGCCCCGGCTTGATGCATGTGCCGTTAACAGGGGCACTAGTGGGCTAGGCAGCAGCTCTGGCCACAAACGGCGGGGTTGGCGCCTGGCTGCTGCGCACAGCTCCACGCTACTTGGCGTGCGGAAACTGCGCCCGAGCCTCCCCGGCGAAACCGCACGTCTCCCTCCCCGCCTCCCTGAACCGTCATTTGTAACCACTGTCCCCCACATACTCAGGCTGGGTGGATCGGCGGAGGCTCCCCCCTGCCCCCACTTCACACCTGACTCGTGAAGCCCGCGCCGCTGGCTGTTCGGTAACATGCTCATGCTCATCATCGGCGTGTTACGGGAGCAGCTAGAGGCCTCCTTTGTTAGGTACAGCACAAAGCCTCGGCTGCCCGCAGCCCCTACCCTAATTTACAGTCCAATAAAACACCAACAAGCATTCTGATATGGTGCGGGCTCTACACTTTAAGGAAGTGACACTGTTCTGGGGTAATCCGTGAACATCACAAGTGGATTGACTCAGTTTAAACACCGAAACCGGGTGAAAATGAACATTTGGATGAACTTGGTTCATTGACGGTATTCAAAGATCACGGTCACTTTCATGCCTCCTATTTTAAGAAGTAAGAATAGATATACTTAGCTTGGCACAGAACATGCGATTAAAATATTTAAGTAAGCTCCTCTGCCAAAGTCATAGTAACTGTGACTAACATCCAGATCCAATTATGATTGTTTGAACAATCCATAAGAAAAATATGAAGAGATTCATACAGGGCTGCATCAGCTCTGAACTTAATGATGACATTCGTATATAATACATTATAGACACAGCCAAAGCCCACAAAGATCGCATTTCGGACAAGTTGTCGTGAAAGGAAATCACCTAGTTAAAGAAACCAGTTTTAACGATGCCTTGACATTATATAAAAGCTACACTTAGTATGCCTCACTTCTATGGAGAACCTCAGAGAACAGGTATTTTCTGAATTTTCTACTGCCAGTTTAGAAAGGCTATTCATTTAGTTTCGGAGTGTGCAATTTCATTTAAAACACTTGATTATTTAAAAATATTTACATTTATTCACTTTATATGCTCTTTGGGTCACTTTCAAGCTGAAGTATTCAGCAGTTTAATCACTTAATACCTTCAAGCATTCGTCGTTTGAACTAGGATCTTTTCAGTTGCTTCAGCTTTGGTCGGAAGGGGGCTGCAATGACTTACAGTTAATGGAAATCGCATCGTTTCTATGTTAAGTACATGGGTATATTATAATTTTTCCCGAACTTAACTAACTCCACATTGCCAGGAATCCTAACTTTTTTTTAAAAAAAGTATTGACAAAAGAGACATTTGCAGTATCTTAGAACATGTCCGATATTACTCCAGCAAGTCTTACTGTTCCTTGCTATGGGGGAGGGGGGGAGGGCAAATAATTTCCCACTGTCCAAAAAAAGTTCTCATTTAATGTGTGTAAAATACAAATTTCCAGCCCTGCAGAACTGTTAGCTATTTGAAGTAGATCGAAAGGGCTGTCTTTGTGAAATACCTCCCACTATTTAGTGACCCTTTGAAATTAGTAGTAAGATATCAAGCCTGACACCTTTTATGTTTTCTTTAGATAGGAGAGGGTCTTTGGCCCTGTTGAGAGGAGTGGAAGGTGTCCTATGATGCTTATTAATAGGATTTTCCTTTTACTTAGCAGAGTGTGTTTCATTTTATGAAGTCATCATTTATATGGTTTGTCCTGTTCCCATAGAGCAGAATCAATGATGCCATGGATGTTACTTTATTATAAAAATACACATAAAACCTTAGCTATAGGCAATCATTTTTGTGATAAGATACATAGGGCAAGAAAAATTAAAGGCTACAAAACAGAAAGTGACAAAGTATAAGGAGTGCTTCATTGATCAATAAAATCACAGGTAAAATACCTTGAGCGCAGCAACTCCAGACTTAGAAGTTAAACCCAAAATTACAGTTTGTTTGTAATCTAGTGAAAAGAAATTTCAACATAAATCTAGTTTATTAAAAAAAAAATCCTCTAAGTCAAACTACTCAGAATTCACTTAATCACTAAAATTAATACTTTCCTAAAGAATTAAGGCAATAATGTTCAGTTTTAAAGAACAGCCACATGCTAAGTGGTGGATCTAAGGAGTAAAATAGTTACTAAATATATTGCCCCTCTTAATGACATATTTAGATTTTTGAACACTTAAAACAAAGTAACAGATTTTTGGGGCTTGCTTGTAAAGTATTTCTTCGAGATTTCTTTCCTGCAATTGCACAACTCTGCCAAAATCTCTTGCAGCTCAAGCTGCTGGCAGATTTATAGTGACAGATTCTATGAATAATCACAACAGATAATAAAGAGGGAAAAAAAGCAACAAAACCCTTCAAATTAACTATTTACAGGCTACTATTTATAGGAGCCCCTGAAGCACAGATTACCTGTGAGCTCATCTCATAAATCACTAGACTGTAGGATACATTGTCAACAAGACAAATTCCCTACAATGGACCCAGTTCTAAACAGTGGTTCAAGATAAAGAGCAGTTCCAGAGAACTTTATTCAGGGTCTTATTTTTACTGTACTGTATTATCACAATAAACTAGGCCAAGTCTTGTGTGATTTATCTTCTTTCAGTACTGTACAGCTAAATGAACATGCTCTTAAAGGGTTAAATGTTTTAACACCTGCCACAGCTGTTAAGCAGTGTTGTAGCCTCAGTCTGATTTTACTTGAATGCTTTACATGGTGGGATTTAGTAAAGGGAAAGAGACGGGAAAAAGCCAAGCAGTGCAATCCCAAACTCAATTTCAAAGCCCTTGAGAAAATGCTTGCCAATTTGAATTCCATCTCATTTCTACTCTATGGTCGTGGCCAGAGGCACTGCAGCTACTGGGGGACCCACACCCAGGAGGAGACCTGAAGGCCTCAGCTAGGTATTCAGGACCATGATCATGTTGTTGCAGAAACACTAAGCACGCTGTCTCCAGGCAGTGCAGATAGCAAGTTTAGATTCACTTCCCAGCCAGTCAAGTCCCGTTTTTTTTCCACCATCTGAACATGTGCTACACAAGTCATTTATTCAGATGTGCACTTTTTTGTTTCATGCCTTTGGCTCAAAAGCCACTCTGTGACACTATGGCACACTCTGGAAAATTCCAATTCAGCATGGGGAAAAAAATCCATCCTGCTATTTCATACAAGTGAACTTTAAAGGAAAACTCATTATCAAGGTTACATGTAAACAATGCAGCACTTGTCACTTGACCCAACTGAAACTAGGTTACATATGTAAAGATGTGAACAAAAACTGTTGTAATCTAGTAAGTAGTTTAATATTTGCTCAAAGTGGCTTGAAGGTAGAAAGCATCCCTATCCAAAAGTCCTGCAGAATTTAATAAGAATGAAACTAATACAGTTCTATACAAATTTACTCTAAAAAACTATTAGGAGCCAGATTCTACCCTAAGCTATGTCCCCTTTATGCCAGTCCCCTGGCAGGAGGGATCCATAGGTCAATAAATGTGTCCAGGAGGAATTTTTCTGCGGGCAGTTCTCCCACATGAGTACAGAACCAGTGTAGCTAGCTGGCTTTTACACTGTAGGTGGGAGAAAGGTGGCATGATTGGAGCATTGCAGTACTATACCAGGCTTTTGAAGCCATAGCAAGATAACAGTTCAGAGCAGCCATGAGGCTGCTTTAACCATACTAGGGGCTGGGCTGGGCTGGTGCAAAAATGGGGAGTCAAAATGGCTCTTTTGAGGTCTCTTCACTCAGCTGTGCCTCACACATATTTGGCACAGGTGAGACTCTATCCAAAGAGTTTAATATAGATTTTTACATAGAGGTTTGTGAGCTGTCCTACAGAACTCCATAACATCTGATGAAGTGAGCTGTAGCTCACGAAAGCTCATGCTCAAATAAATTGGTTAGTCTCTAAGGTGCCACAAGTCCTCCTTTTCTTTTTGCGAATACAGACTAACACGGCTGTTCCTCTGAAACATAACAGGGATGTAACTCTTTAACAAATCCTACAGGAAGGTTAAGAAATCCTATAGAACACTAGAGATTAAAAAGGGGACCTCCAGAAATAAAAGCTCATCCAGCTAAGAACTGTAACAGATTCACATCCTCTGTGGATCAGGCAAAGAGAGTCATATGTACACATACTCAATTGGTCACATAACCAATAACTATAATTGACACAAGAAACTTAAGAACGGCCATACTGGGTCAGACCAATGGTCCATCTATCCCAGTATTCTGTCTTTCAACAGTGGCCAATGCCAGGTGCTTCAG